TGGTTAGAGATATCAGTTGCACATTTTAATGAATAGTTTTTCTGTATCTCAGGTGATTTGTGTCTTTTTATTCATCTGGTAATTTGCTAATGCTAAACCAATCTTACATTCCAGCAATAAACCCATTATAGTGACTGTATAGCTCTTAAATTGCTGAATTTGGTTTGCTAATACTTTGTTTTAGGATTTGTATGTTCATGTTAAAGACTTTGATTAATCTTACCTAATTTTGTTCTCAAGGTTATTTTGCCATCCTAAAATGGGTTAGAGAATGTGTCTTCAGTTTAATTTACCTTTGGTTCTCTTTTATGGTTCTGCTAAAATAATCTATTTTTTACTTCTCTGAACATTTAAAGCCTTATGTCTGAAAAACATAGGGATCTTTTTGTGGGGGGGCGGTCTGTTGGTTAACTTGATGTCAAGATACCTGATCTCTTCATATGTCTTATTTTTTTCTCCCCCACCCCCATCTGATTATTTTTGAGGGCTGAATAGTATATAGAAAAACTTGTTATTCTTCTCTGAAGAAAATTTGTGACTGCTTCTGGCAGAAAGATGCTGTCACTAGCCATCTCAGAGTACCTTAATCCAATTTCAGGGATTGAGATAATGTAAAATTGGGTTCATATCTTTTAAGAATCTATTTCTGATTGATCTCTAAAAAGGGGGGGAAGGTAGACAGATTACCACCAAAGGATCATCTGTAAAATTTGCAATTGACTTGAGTATAAACAGTGGAAGCAAGAAGGCAATTGAATATTCTTTTAATTATAATTTTTAATATACACAAGTAATACTAGAGTAATACTTTTTAATGTCTTATTTACCTATTTGAGAGAAAGGGAGAGAGTATGAGAGGGGAAGGGGGAGAGAGAGAGGGAGAGAGAATACCAAGCAGGCTCCGTGTTGTTAGTACAAAGCCCAACGCGGGACTCAAACCCACAAACCGTGAGATCATGACCTGAGCTGAATACAAGAGGTGGATGATTAACTGACTGAGCCACCCAGGTGGTCCTACAGTAATATTTTTTTTTTAAAGGTTTTATTTTTAAGTAATCTCCACACCCAGCATGAGGCTTTAATCCACAACTCAAAGACCAAGAGTCCCATGCTCCACCAACTGAGCCAGCCAGGCGCCCCCGGAATAATAGTTTTAATTCTTATATATCTAAGTCTTTTGAAAACTGCTCAGTTTACCAGACTCTAAATCTCCTCTTCCAGAATTCATAAATGCCCCAAATTACCAATGAACCCAAATGCCAGAATCCACTTTCTAGGATTCCTTCTTCTCCAAGATTTTGGACCCCCGGTTCCTTACTGTAGTTTTCTCTCTGCAGTGCTCTCAAGCAGGTGTTTCATTCATAGAGTTCTAGTCTGTTGCTATCAGAAATTGAACTCTTCCTGTGTGTCCTTTTTTATAACTTTATGGTAAAATTCATAATTTGATCATAAGCGTGAATATTTATCATCTGTACTGAATAATTTCAGTAGCTGGAATACTTTGGATCTCATTCTATCAAATTTGATTTGGTTCTCATTCTTCTTTCATCCTGTACCTGGTTATTCATATCTAATGTTTGAAAAAAATTTTTTTTTTGAGTTTGACAAATTTAGTGGTATTTTAGTAAAGACATGCATCTCAGTCGTTTCTCTCCCCTCTTGACCTTAGGTTAATAATTCATTTGAGTCCAGACAATATGTAGGAAAAGATGTTATTTTAACATAAACAACAAAATGGACAAAAGTGGAAAGTTTGCTTACATTAAAGCAAGTTAAATTCATGTATTATGATATAATTAAATCATGTAAGAACTGATAGTTCTATATATATTTCCATTGTTTTACTTGGGGTTTACTTTCAACTTAAAAGCAAAATGCAAATGAACAAAGCGTTAGGAATACAGGCTGCTTCTCTGGAGTTAATCCCTGTTTAAAAGAGCTCAGCGAGTGGTTGCTACCAATAAAGTAGTCTGAAGCTGCTTCCAAATTAAACATTGCAGGAGTTTTCAAGGAAATCATTTTACTGTATGTTTCTTTTATCTGTGATTATGCTTTTAAAGATGTGCTTAACTGTCACATTAAAAAAATTAAAGTTTTTTAGAAAGCCTATAGTACATAGATCTAACAATGTGGTTGGAGATTCCATAGAATATGTTTAAAGATGTATTTTCTTTATTTTTATCTTCAGTATCTAAAATGTACATGATTAATGTGTATAATACTTTAAAAAATATATGTATAATTCAAATAGCCATATTATTTTACTAACATAAGATTTCTTGTATTAAGTTCAAATCAAATTCCATTTTCATAAATTAGTAAATTAAGCTTTAACAAAGGTATGGAAAGTGCATTTTTCTCGTTTTCATCTTCATACAGTGTGGGTTTTTTGGTGTTACTACCTTTTAAAAAACAAAAACACCCACATATCTAAGTATTATACCTACATTTAAGTTTTTGGTGGTAGTTTGTATTTTAAAAGAAACTACTTCTTCATGAGTTGCCTCAAGATCTGGTGGAAATGCTTACAGGAACTAGCTAAGAACAAAAACTAAGAAGCACATTCACAATACTGATTTTACTTTGGTAGCAGATGGTCTTTGAAGACTGACGAAGGTAGACCGGACCCATTAAGGTGAAATGTACTATTTCAAATACTTAACAATTTACATAAAATGAAAACAAAGTTTTTTTAAAGAGGTAGGCATCTGTACCAGCTGATAGCAATGCAATACCTAGTTTATGAGGATCAAAAACAAATGCCCATTAGGGGAAAAAACAAACAAACCATGTTTTATCTAATGTACTTCCAGTCAATAGTCCAGTAACATTTTCTTCCCAATACAGGCTGTTCCTGGGAGACAGTTTACATTAATAAGGGAGTCAAGAGTAATTGTTTGCAGTTTAAATAGATAATAACTTTTTGCATCCCTCTTGATAGTGTCTTAAAAAATATGCAATTCTAGGGGCACCTGGGTGGCTCAGTCGGTTGGGTGTCTGACTTTGGTTCAGATCATGATTTCATGGCTCGTGGGTTCAAGCTCCGCATCACGCTCTGTGCTGACAGCTTGGAGCCTGGAGCCAGCTTCGGATTCTGTGTCTCCCTCTCTCTCTGCCCCTCTCCCATTCATGCTCTGTCTCTCAAAAATAAA